GGATTGATTGAGTGACTGGGGTAATTGGGATGGGTGTGTTGGAGGCAGTGCGATTGGCACAGGACAGAGCAGGGTTTAGGGCTGTTGTACATAGTGTCTCTATGAGTTGCAAGTGACTTGATGGCCCATAACAACAACAACAATTGATGCGATACTTGAACTATTGTTATTCTGAAAAATAAAAAAACTCCAACTCATTTGCCATTGAGTGGGAACCAACTCATAGATGATCTTCCAGTAGATTTTCAGCAGTTGTAAATTGCATAGAAGGACACGGCTCATCTTCCTCTTTCAGAGCAGATGGTGGATTCAAAGCTCCCAGCTTTGGGTTCACGGTGCAATTTTCTACTCTCTAGTCCACAAGAGCAATAACAATATTATTAACACCATGTAGAGGACACATAGAGTAGAATAACAGATAGGACAGCTGAGGCTGAGCCCACAAATTTCGAAACACAAAGGAGGAGGAACAGTTGAAAGCAGATACAGTGACTAGAGCAATGGGGGTCGGTGTGATGGAGTCAATGAGACTGGCTTAGGATAGGACAGACTTCAGAGCTGTTGTATATAGGGTCGCTATGAGTTGCAGGAGCTTCCCAACTAAAACAAGCCTTGGAAGCAGGAGTGGCATCCACTTCCGAAATGGCCTTGCCTGCAGAAACTCTACGAACAGTGCTCAGGCCTTTCGTTCATAGCTTTGCTATGAGTCGTCTATGACTCGTCGGCACCAAACAACAACAACATGGGTTGCAGGTAACTTGATGGCACATAACAACAACAACAATGGCAACAACAACACTTTGACCACAAAATAATTATTTCCTAAAGTTTTTACATTTTAGCAAAAAATAATGCTCACATTTTAGAAAATGACATGAGGACCGAACAATTGTTGTGAAGTGTTTTGAACATCTTGGAAAAGAAATGCTAAAACTGAATGGCTAGCTGGTTCCACAAGAAAGGAAGAGATGTAGCACTGGTACTCTTAAAGTGACCTGCTTAGGGGTTTTTTTTACCGGCAAAGTTTTGATCATATTAAAGCCTTTGTCATCCATGTGAACTCCGCTAATCCAGTCTTTGAGTGGGATGTGTTCTTTAGGAATGTGGTACATAGAGCCGAGATAACTACAGCTGCTTTTTATTATTGGCACGTATGTTGTAGCAAAGCATTCAGTTGACGCATCCCAGATAATAAATGCCAGTGACGTATAACCCTGGAAATAGCCAAATAAATGAAGGTTAGGCAAAGTGCTTAACGAAAGAGAAGACATTTCAATAGAAAAAGTGGGACATTTCACCATAAAGATCTGCACCAGAATAAACTAAAAAAAAAACCCGAAAAAACCCCACAAGGATATTAGATCAGATGAAATACATTTTGATCTAATTGATTGTGGGAATTTGTTTGGAAATGAACAAGGATCAAGAAGGACTTATTTTTTATGATGTTATAGCACTTCATAATTTATGTAAACTTTGTGACAGAACAAGAAATACTCTAAGTCCTTAAAAAAAATTTCTTTTATAAACACCATCCAACTCAGTTGATGACTAACAATTGGATGTTTGATGATCTTTTAATAGGAATTCATGCACAGGAATTTGGTAGAAATTCAAGCATTCTGTGGGAGATTCTAAAGTGTTTCTGGAGCCTTAAGGAATATACAAATACTAACAACTGTAGTGGTACCTGGACGTTTAGAGGTGCTTGTGTTGCCTACCCCGATATTCTTTGGCTCCTAACGGTGCTGCAGCACCTTTTATGATTAATTCCACTTTGGAGGTGATGGGAGACAATGGAGCAGGTTAAATAAGACACTAAGAATGTCTTGTGTAAAGAAAGAAGCCCAGGATGTTAGGCATTTTGCACTGATTTGCGGTAAGTGAGGTAACAAAGACTGAGGAGAGCCTTTTGTGAAAAGAAACATAAGATAGGAGAAAGTCTCATGTACCACGTGAATTTTGTGTGGATCTTAATCCAAAC